GGGGGGGGGGGTAAGGGGAAGGAAAAAATGGAAGGCGGGCGTGCTGCTTTAGTTTAAGAGTAGACCGCGGTGTCAAACTAATGAGAAACAGAGCTTTTATTTTTTGTTTGCTCTGTTTACAGATCTTCACAACTGTGAGTACATTCATGCTGACTGTATCCATTCCCAGAGAGAGACAGCAGGGTCAACGTAATTGATGGAACACTCATTCACAGCACTTCACTGTTTATTTATCTAGTTTTTCAGCATTTGATCCAGTACTATAGCACTAAAGTCTCCTAACTGTTAATAGATCTTCACATGTGGAAATATTCATTCCAATTACTATGCAACAGTGTATCTATTTTACGAAGAGAAACAGCAGAGTCAGTGTTATTGATGGAATCACTCAAAGAACATTCAATCAGAACAGAAAATACACTAAGAACATATGATTTTGCCCCCTCATAACAGCTGGTTGATTTACACAAAGCACATGCAGTTTCGCTGGACAAAAATGAAGAAGGCTGCATTTTCAAAATGATACACAGAATGCAGCTTTTCAGCCAAAAGTCACATTAAAGTGTATATATTTCACAGAATAAATGATTTTATATTCTAGAGACTACATAAAAAGGAATTGAACACTTGGAGTAGGCCAAATCAAATTTTGAACAGGAGGGACAACAATTAGTGTGTTATAGTACTTGCAGAGTCCCTCCCAGATTTTACAAATCTTCTCTGAGAATCCCAGTCAAGACTTTCAGAAGACCCACCAATACCTCTAATGGTACTCGGAGGAGCCCTGCCATTGCTTCTAATGGCTCTTACAGATTCTGGGCCTGTATGCCTAGTAATAGCCACAGAATCCATGCCAGAACATCCAGAACCACCTGAAGTGATGCTGGGCATGCCACCTCAGAGGGGTATTTAAGCACCAGCTCTAGAAGGTAATTCCTGTGTGTACAAATAGCTTTAGTACTGCTATTGTTTCCTGCAAAATATTGTCCTGACTCCATGCACAGTATGGAAGCACTTTTACTAGGCAACAGTTTAACTGGGAGAGATCAAGCAGGTTTTAATTGAAGACTAGTCCAATTTTTAACTGGTCAACTGTGTCAGGGGAAAGGTGGATTTGTCTCTTTGTTACAAAGCCACTGCAAAATACCCTTCTCTAATAGCACACTGGCCGCAGGGCAAGCTCACAGCTCCACTGCCAGTGCTCCAGCCTATACAGCCGCTACCACTGCTGCTCCTTCCAGAAATATGAGGATCAGAGACACATTGGCCATGAAAAAGGATCCTGCCACTCTCTGGAGAGGTTATTCCTCAACATCTCTTCTAAGTGGCACATTTATTGCTCCCTCTGGGAAGACAGTATGAGATCTGTAATTTCCCCCTTGCATTAGTCCTCGGAGTTGTTGAGGACAACACTGTCCTCAAAGATTTCCCCCATCTGTGAACAACTCCTGGGGTTTGGGAGGGGTGAAAGACACCCCTGAGAATCTGCCCCATATCTTTTGAAGCACGGGCACCCCACCCTCCTTCTCATGCTCCTCTTCTGCCTGCTAATGTCTCAGCCTCACAGAGGGAGTCAGTTATAAAAGGACCCTGCTGGCCTTCCTAAGAGTAGGAAGTCCTCCTCTTCCTCTTGCTGTGCCTCCAGAGCCTGGCCTATTGCACTATGCAGCATGTGCTCCAGTAGGAACACCATAGGGATTGTGTTACTATCCCTGACTAGTCATGGCTCACCATTCTGGTCGTCTTCTCGAACTGTGACAAAATAGTACACATGTCCAATATCAGGAGTAAATGACGTGATGAAGACCCCCAAAGACTGTCCTTGTCCCATACTTGCACAAATGCTCATAGACTGCCATTTGTATCAAGTGCAACCACTGTGGCATGGCCAATGTTGAGTTCCAGCATGTGGGTTAACAGTTGAGCTGGTAACAGAGGGTGAGCTGTGGATGAGGGGTACAGAGGTGAGCTTCAGAAGAATGGAGAAGAGGTGAGCTGCAGGAGAGGGGTACAAAGGTGAGCAGTGGACAAGGGGTACAGAGGTATGTGGTGGAAGAGGGGATTTTTTCTTGAGAAAAGGATCTCTTTACTGTGAGTATGTAACATACTCCTGACCACTATACTATGTACATATACTCCTGCATGTTATATGCTATATTGTAATAAAATACTCCTGAACAAAGTGTTTATGGTCTCAACAGTTGCTAGTTGCTAAGTAGCCCCCAACTTTTTTAATGACATGCTATTTAAACATAAAATGTATACTTACTGTATAGAATTGTAGCTTGAAAAAGAAATAAGGCCCCCAAATGCAAGAGAGAAAGAGTAGAAGACTTGTGCACCAGCATCCAACCAAGTAACCGGATTTGCCAGTTCCTTGACCTAAGAAAAATGCAAGATAAAAATATTCTCATATATTATCAAAATTATTCTCATATTTTTGTTATTATGGAGAGGGTTAGTAAATTTAAAATGTTTAAAAAAATTGTAATCTAGGTAAACATGACATATTAACATTTTGTTTTCTCCATTTAAACCAGCAGGTGGAGCTTCATGCTCCCTTTTACATGTTTTCATTGATCCCTCTGTCTCTCTGTTTAAAAAAGTCTGTTGTTACACAATAGCTCAAGCAGAATGTATACACACAAGTAATGGTTTAGAGCATTGGCCAGTATCCTGCTCTTCTCAAAACATGGCAGGCACAGAAAGCCATTCCTTCTTGAATCCCTATTGGCACTGGAGCATGGCTGTCTGGGTTGACTATGTTTTGAGCAATGGAGGATATTGGCCAAAAAGGGGTTATTTCTTCAAGTGGGATGGGCCCATGCATTTGTGGGCAAAGATAATACTACCTCTGCTTTCCTTGTTACTCAGAGAAAATCTTGATCTTTATACACCCTCGGTAGAAAGGTTGAATGAAACCTTGGAAAAATCTAGGAGGACCCCATTTGAAGGTCCATTGTTTATCACTCACTTCAATGATGGATTTCGATATATTTTCTCTGTTATCTGCAAAAACTGGCACATTTTACTCAACGATCCTAAGTTACAATCTCAATTTCCACAAAAACCATTGTGGTTTTTCATAAAGCTAAATGTGTTAAAGAATTTATTGTTACTAGTAAATTACCCAAATTGGTAATCTCTACAGATCATATTTTACCTATGTTTCTGCCCCTTTCTGGAATTTTCCAGTGTCGTAAGCTCAGATGCTTTGCCTGTTCCCATATTAGACATAGCCAACATTCTTTCCAGGACAGAAAAGGTAAAACATGCTACTTGTGATTTTATTACTTGCTCTACTTCTTAAGTGGTGTAATGTCTCACCCGCCCTTGTGGCTTTATGCACGTGGGTAAAAGTGTCAGACCTTTAAGGGTTTGTTTTAGAAAACACGGGCGAAATGTAGAAAAAGGTTCTCGTCTCTGGACATTTTTCTTCCCATCCTAACAATGACTCCAGTAAACTATGTATTTTTGCCATCCATGTAATTTCCACCCAGGTATGAGAGAGTGACTGTGTTCTCAGGAATCATATTGGATTTTTCATTTAGATACCCTTTCTACTAATAGCCTAAATGAAGAATTGGATGTCCATATGATTATTTAAAGGTTAATTTTACTTTATTTTATGGCAAGACAGGAGGATTCATATTTTGCATAACTCTCTATACTGACTCCCCACAGCAGCAAAGAAAAACGCCCATGTAAGGTAACGTCCTCTTGGCAGGTTGCTGCTCCTCATGGCAGGTCAGTGACTCATACATTTCACATTCCCTGTAATCTAATTTTTCTCATTGCAAATTTCTACTCCTGTGTGTTTCCTATACTTGCGCCCCCCCCCCTTCTTCCCGCACTATGGGTTAGCCTGTCCATCCTTTGTCCTGGGTGTGGGGAGCCTCTGGCAGCATTTTTCTTCCCCGCTGGTCGGATACCCATTCCGAGGCCGCTACTCTCAGGCACGGGCTCCGCCACCATTTTCCTGTGGTCACCTCCACCAGCCACAGCCGCCATTTTGGTGCAGGCACGGTCTGGCCGGCAGGCGACCACTTCAGCTTGTTACTCCGCTTTCGCCGCCATTTTCCTGTGGCCCTCCTTCAGTCATGGCCGCCATTGTGTTACAGCCGCAGCCTGGCTGGAAGGCAACCACTGCTTTTTGTGTAGCTCCTCCTCCTCCACCATTTTCCTGTGGCCCATCTTTCTGTCGCGGCTGCCATTCTATTGGGGCCACGGTTACCTCTAACCACTCCCAACCACTCTCCCTACCCTCTCAGATCTAGGTGAGCCCCAACTTCATTCACTGTGCCTGTGCCTTTCTGTTTTTTTGTGGGTGAGCCCCACCTATGGCTCTGTGCTTTATTCCTACAGTTCCTGTGCCTTCTGTGTGCTGGGTGAGCCCCAGCATATTGCTAGTGGGCCGTCTGTTTTGTGGGTGAAGTCCATTAACTCACCGCACTCGAAAACACTGTTCCAAAGATAATGAGGGACGTCCAGGTTGAACTCAGATGGTGGCTTTGACACATGGATGCGTGGAATGGGACAGCGATCTTCATGCTTAGCCAGATTTAGTTCTGGAATCCAACACCAGCCTTTGGGGCTGGGGCGCGACCTGTGCGGATTTAGCGATGGGAGGTCGCTGGACGTCAGCAGAGTGTTTCTTACACATCAACTGCTTGGAGCTTCTAGCTGGCTCTTTCGCTGGGTCTCTTGAACTCTTCTATCTTACTACGTATGAACAACGTGTCAGTGGTACGATACATCAATCGTTTGGGGGGGGTGCCGGTTCAGAGCGTATGTCCACTCTCACAAAGGACCTTTTACCACATCTCTCTTTCTGCCGAATATCTACCGGGTGTGGACAATTTCATGGCAGATTGGTTCTCCCGGTTTTGGAGGGATGCCAGCAACTGGAAGTTTTTGCTCTTCTCACGGTACTCGGCCCCTGCACGCTGGACCTTTTTGCCCCCTGTTGGAATAATCAATGCCACGGTTCTTCAGTTGGCTTCCTGACCCGTTCTCACTGTCATGAGTTTATTCAGAGGTGGCCGCAGGGTTTGCTTTCCCTCCCTTTTCGTCTGATTCATTAGGTCCGCTGTCAGCAGGTGAGCCTCCTTCTTGTCACTCCGCTCTGGCAGGCTCAGTCTTGGTTCCCTGCTCTGCTGGAGTTGTCTTGCGCGGACCCTCTTCTCCCTCCCTGAAACCCTCTTCTCTTACAAGACCCGGAAGGGAACCCCCACCCACTGGTGCTTCAGGAACGTCTTCCTCTTGTGGTTTGGGAGATTTCTGGGGTTCCTGGAATCTGTTGGGCTTATCACCTACAGCTCACTCCTTGCTCTATAGGTGTCTGACTAGGCAAATCGATCCCTTTACGGCTCCTGTGATGGATGTGATAAATTTTCTGTTGGCACCTTTTGCTGAGGGCAGATCCTACTGTACAGTCAATGTCTTTCGCTCAGTTATCTCTGCGGGCCACGTCCTCGTGGCTGGCTTGCCGATTGGCAGGGATCCTTTACTCTGTCGCCTCCGCCTGTCTCGGCCTCCTGCTCCTTGTTATTCCCATGTTTGGGATGTCTCGATGGTCTTGGACTTCTTGCGTGCCTGGCCGGACAATGACTTCATGTCTTTGACACAATTGTCGGCAAAGTTGAAAACTTTGCTTTGTCTGGTGTCTTTTTGTCGAGTGTCTGACATCAGGGCTTTCAATCATGATGCATTGACCTTTACAACTGATGGGGTCTCTTTTTTCCCTTTCTCACCAGACAAAGACTATGGGGGTTATTCACTATGGAGCCGAAGGATACAGCCTTAGCTTCGGCTGATCCTTCGTCTCTCTACGGCCGTCTCTGCCCTTACGTTCAGTTGATTAGCATATGATATTATATGTCAGTTTGTTTAATCAAGAAGACAACTGGTTTGATTTAGTTTAGTTACTCCAAGAGTATAATTTTTAGTGGGATACTATATAGTATTAAGACAACTTTACTGTACACTACAGATAACTTTAAATTAAATCTGTGTGGTCTACAAATCAATATATACATTGTTGATATACCCTGAATAAGTTTAACCCCGTGAGGATGTTTGTATGTATATTTATCTATTGTACTTAATACAGTTTGACATATTTTTTCAATTTTATATTCTTGTGTGACACATTCAGGAGTGCAATAATTACAGTTCCCTCTATTCTTCAAAAAATGTCATTTACTATAATAGTATATATTTTTTATCAATACATAACTGCGTTAAATATAGTTTTTTGTAGCTTTCTGGAGTTCACCTTTAACAGACAAATATATTGCTGACTGTTTTATAGATCAGATGATTTTTACCAAACCTAGGGCTAATTTAAAAAAATAGATTACCTATTTGTGGTAATAAGTTACATGTTTTAGATTTCTAGTGAACAAAGGTTGTATAAGCAGACAAGACTATTTCAAGTATACTCTCTTAAGTAAGAATACAGAGTAAAGTTGAGGTAAAGTTACAGAATTTTTTTGCGATCAAATTGCCTTTTAAAAAAATTATGTAACTACTACACAATAGATTAGGGATTTATGCTTGTAGGATCTTAATTTCGGAAATTTGGAGATTCGGATGTATCCGAAAAACGGATGCAAACAAATCGGAATTTCCGATTTCCCTAAATTCGATAGCGGTAGTCTGGACGAAATTTTGTTTATTGGATGAAATTTTGTTGCAGCAAAATGACATTATAAAAAAAAATAATTTTTTTTTAGTCTGCAGAAGATGAAAAAAAAAAAAAGCGTGTGGGTCCCCCAATTCATACCAGATCTTTTAGGTCTAGTAGGAATGTTAGGAAGGACCCTCTCCCAAGTTAAAAAAAAAGTGCGTGGGGTTCCCCCCAAAATCCTACCAGACCCTTTAGGTCTGGTAGGAATTTTAAGGGGGAACCCCAGTCCCAAAAAATGGGGAGGAAAAAATGTGGGGTCCCCCCTAACACTCCTACCAGACCCTTGATCCGAGTACTGGCCCGGTAGGGCAGAAAAGGGGGGGGACGATTGAGCGCCCCCTGCACCGCGCCTTGCCAGGCCACGTGCCCTCGGCATTGGGAGGGTGTCCCCATGTCGATGGGGACAAGGGCCTCCTCCCCACAACCCTGACCCGGTGGTTGTGGGGGTCTGCGGGCAAGGGGGCTTATTTGAATCGGGGTACCCCTTTAATTAAGGGGCACCCAGATGCCGCCCCCCCTTGTGAATAAGTAAGGGGTACGTGTACCCTTACCCATTCACTAAAAGGTTAAATCAAATAGTTATTAAAAAGTCCAGACTTTTGAAAAAAATTCCTTTAATTGAAAAACAGCTAAAAAGAAAATAACAAAAAATGGCTCCATCGATGTAATCCAGCGTCAATCACGATGCACAACGCCCGTCGCAATAAAAAAAGTCCCGCTGCACAGCGGCCGTCCGAACCCGACGAAAACTCACCGCAAAATGACATTCAGCCCGAAAATAAACAGATGGGCAGAGCGAACCGTGACGAGCCGAGGTGTCATAATGCTTTTCATATGACTCCTCGGCTCACAGACCCGATTGGCATTCGGCAGCTGAGAATGTTTACATTCGAGCAGGAATGTCATTTTGCGGCGAGTTTACGTCGGGTTCGGACGGTCGTCGTGCGACGTGACTTTGTTATTGCGGCGGGTCGGCGGGCATCGTGCATCGTGATTGATGCTGGATTTCATCAATGGAGCCATTTTTTTTTAATTTAAGGAATAGTCAAAAATGTTGTCTTTGTTTTTTTTTTCAATTAAAGGATTTTATCAAAAGTCTGGACTTTTTACTAACTATTTGATTTAACCCTTTAGTGAATGAGTAGCAGTAGATATATGAAAAAAAAATGAGGGTTAGGGGACGTTTTCACTTTCCACTGACCAGCCATGTTAGGAGCATTGTTCACACTGATCACCAGAATAATGGCGCCCGTGTACACCATTCCCTGACCTCTGCCCTCTGTTACGTACTCCTGATCCCTGTGCTGTCCTGACAACAATGTATTCTGCTCTGCCAGGCTGATGCCAGCCCAGCCAGCCAAGGTGAACCCAGTCAGTTCTGTATGATAAGCTTAGCAGCCTCTTCTTTACAATGCTGGCAGAAGTGATAAAGCATGTGCCTGTTACTATTTATATGCACACTCACTGTATCCAGCTTCTAACAGGTTATGCAAAATGTTTTAAAACAGGAAGGGGTTGGGCAAATTTAGATTGGGGGGTGTGCCCGAGTTTAGTCTTACCTGAGCAGCTCAAAACCTAAATACACCACTGGCCGCAGTGTGGAGCCCACTGGTTTAAAGTAGGGATGCACCGATATATCGGCCGCCGAAACATATCGGCCGAAAATGGCACTTTCGGCTGAATGCCAGAGGTGCCATTTTTCTGCCGATACAGCAGCGCGTCCATGCATTCTCTCCTCCCCTCCAGCGGGGAGGCGGCTGAGTGCTGCGGGAGGAGAGCGCTGTGAGCTGCCGCCGTCTCTCCTCCCATGCTGGTCAGCCTCCTGTCACAAATCGGCAGAGCGGTGTGTGCCCAGAGACAGCCAGCGCTGTCACAGGAAGCTGAGCTCTCCTCCCCACACAGCTCGCTCAGCCTGCTGTGACAGCGTGTCAGGAAGGAGAGTGAGTACAAACACTCAGTGATCAGTGATTGCTGAGTGTTTGTACATAATTGAGGACATAGTATGGTTACTATACCCTCAATTAAGAATGAATGGGAATTGATCTACATCACCTCCTGTTCATTCATGATTGTGGTTATAGTAAACATAGTCTGTCCTCTTGTTATGAGGATTCCTGTTCATTTATAACGGGGGATGCAGAAAAAGAGATTGAGGACTCAATCTCTTTTTCTATTTTAAAAGGGAAATAACAGGGTTCTGTTTAGACCGCCAATATTTCCCAAAAGCCCCTAAAAGTAAAGTAAAAATATTTAATAAAAAATGAATACATAAATAAAAATAAATATAAAAAAATTAAAAAGTTTATAAAAAAGACATTTAAAAAAATATTAAAAACAAGTTGAAAAAATTAAAATAAAAACATTTTTGGTTTCGACCTGACATTTTTTTAAATTTCGGTTTTGAAATTTCCATTGTGGTGCACCTCTAGTTTAAAGTACTATTTTAGTTTTCACAAAGGCCCTTGCTACATGTCAAGGCAATTTATAGTTGGTCTAGAGATAACATGACATCACAACTTTCATAAAATACATTGGTAGCATGAGGTCAAAACTTACATCTGGAGTGAACAGATATATGATTCCACTCACTGAACCTTTTAATGTCAGAGCTCTGATCAGGAAAATGGTGAGAACCAAATATGGAAGTGTGGAAGTCACATAAACTGCCTGAAAAGGAAAATATATCTCATTATTCAAGTGTTATATTGTTGATTTACTGATCTATCCTTGATTTTTTGTGTGTTTGTGTGTGTGTGTGTGTGCGCGCGTGCGTGCCTGCATGCATGTGTTTGGACCACATCAATATGTCCATTGCATCTATGTGCATTCACCCTTGTAGTTGGTGCTACCTAGTGATATTATTCAACTGTATACACCAAAGCACAAACTGTACACTTTACTGTGTCTGCAAATGTTAGTGTACTGTTTTTTTTAGGATCCTATTAACATTGCTTTATTTCTACAAATGTGTGTTTCCTGTAAGGACTATATCAAGTTATGTCATGACTTTAATTCTTAGCAACTGGTGAACGCCCAAAAGAATACTGTGCACTCCTTTTATAAAAAAAAAATACCTTTCCAGTTGTTTCAATGCCTCTGATGGTACACACGTATAGAACACCCCAAGCACAAGCCAAACTAAGCACAAGCCACCATTGTAGAGTGCCTGAATTTTCAATTGACGTAGAAATATTTAGTGTTTCTCTGTACCAGTAATAATCCACAGGAGAACTTTGTGCACATTCAGGTTCAAGACCTAAAATTATGAATGAAAGGTTATTTGATATATATTTGTCCAATCTCCGGTTGGTGGTTATCTGTTATTGGTTAGTTTTGTTAAAGCCCAACTCCAGCTTTTATTTTTTGTTATACCCATTACTCTGAGTGGTACTGCATTATTTTGCTAACTTAGAAGAGATAAAAAATTATTGCAGCTGACACTGAAAAGATAAAAAAAACTCAGCATGCTCACTGCTAATAAATGACTACTACAAACACTGCCTAGTTGCAGGTTTCAGTGATTAGCATACTGGGGCGTTGTTTTGAACAAAACCTCTTTATTGACTCTTCAATGGAGGTAGTAACTTACAAATAGGCTACACCTTTTGGATGAACCTCAGCTCAAATTTTGGCACAATCACGTTACAAATAGACTTTTACAAGCTATTTCTTAAGAATAAAGCTGGCCATACACTGGTAGATTTTCGTATGATTTTTTGGTCACACCAAACATCTCATCAGAACAAAGAAATTCATTGCTACGGTCAAAATCGATTGTCCATTAACTATTAACTATTAAAAATCAAACAAACATTCCAAATACTAATTTTTTTTAACACAATTCTATTGGTGTATGGCAAGCTTTAGAGAATAAAATCTAAACTAAAATGCCAAATGAAATATCACCCTCTAATGTCCATATTCAGAAATTACATCCAATATAAAAAGTAGATCACTAGTTAAAACAACATTAATCTATTAAATTCAGGGCTACCCATAAAGCGCGGATCCACATTTTTTACTATTTTTTAACATTAATCTATTACTACCATACATAAATGTACAAGTTCCAGCTTTAAGAAAGATGCAAAACACACTTAAAGTGTGCGTGTGTGTGTGTATAAAGTATATATTAGATAGATATAGATAGATATGTATAGAGAGAGCCAGATTGTTTCTGTTGCAAAAGTGTATATTGACGGTTTCAGTATTTCAGTAAACAGCGAGGTGTTTATCAAAGATGTAGAATGCACAGAGTATACAGTATCATCACAGGAAATAATGGTAAAATGTTTATATAGCCATTTTTTTCTTTGGTTTCTTTGAATAAAATTCAAAATATTAACAACAACATACAAAGCCATCTAGGACTCCGCCCCAACCTACATCACTGATCTCAAAAAATTACCCAAACCGTCCTCTCCGCTCCTCTGAAGACCTCCTGCTCTCTAGCTCTCATATTACCTCCTCGCACGTCCTCCAGGACTTCTCCAGAGCGTCCCCCATCCTCTGCAACTCCTTACCCCAATCTGTACTCCTGTCTTCTATACTGCCCACCTTTAGGCGATCCTTAAAAACCCATCTCTTCAGGGAACCCTATTCCACCTCAACATAACTGCCTTTTAATTCTTCCAATAACTCAATCTACACAATTATTACCTTTTGTATCACTTGCCCCTCCTACTAGATTGTAAGCTCTCACGAGTAGGGCCCTCCTAACCCTATTGTACTGAAACTGTATTGTATTGTAAATTGTATTTGAACTGTACTGTCTCCTCCATTTTGTAAAGCGCTGCGCAAATTGTTGGCGCTATATAAATCCTGTATAATAATAATAGTTTTGAATAGGCTATGGATGGGTTAAAGCTGTTATTTGCTGTCTGTGTCCTCCTGAAGAGATTTTCCCTTACTTCTTATCCAGAGATTTAAAAAAAAATGAGATGAAAACTCTACTAAATAAAGAGATTTTCCCTGTTAAGACACTTGCCACTGAACAGAGCCCCCCTTGGAATATTTACCTTTACCTTCTGTTCTAGGGACAACTCTACATTTTCTATTTCCCATTACATTCTGTTTTAATGGCAATTGTTACCAGGACACAGTTCAGTAATGCTTCAATTGAGTTTTAGTGGAGATAATGCGCATGCAATATGGTACCAGAACCATTTTATTTTCTGTCAATTTCTGAATATATGTTTAAATGTGCTATCCATGGATCTGCCCCCAAAACAGTTACTGAGTATCAAGGTAGAATGTGAGCTATTCTTTTGGGTACTAGGTACCACCACATGAAATGTTCATAATTAGACTCAAATGAGTTTGCATTGATAGAAATATGGGACACGGCATCCCATATTTGTTCCCAGTCCATCGTTTCCAAACAGTTTCTCCACTATTCCTTCCATTAGCATAACTTGGACAAGCAGATTGTCATCCTTGAAGTAAGGACTTATAAATCGAGGAGATGAGGTCAAGCAAGTGAACTGCACATCATTATAAAGTCACTAGGTGTACTATCATAAGATATGGTGTGGCAAGCAAGTAAGATTGATAACAATTACTTTAATGTACGGTACTGGTATTAATAGTAATAAATGAAGATACAGTATAGTTCTTTTAAATGTACAAAAAAAAGTCTAAACATTTCACCTGTTCGGTTTGCATTTAGTGGACATTCACTCCATGGCAAAGGATCTTGAAATGAGTTGAAAAAATACCACATAACCCAAGCTATAATGGTATTGTAGTATAAACCCACAAAAAAGGACACCAGCATTGATGCAATTCCTAAAAGATAAACATAATGTTTTCATATTATCATATTTCTATTGATTTACAAACACATTCAGCAAATTCAATAAACAAAGCCCCTTAGTCTCAAAAAAGAGGTTTGAATCCCTGAATGAGTTGATGGTAGTTGCTGCAGCTCAGTGTGGAAATCATCTGGACAAAATGCACTTGTGTGAGATACCTAAACTTCAGGGTGCTCATCCCACATACTAAGCTAATAAACCTGGTGTCAGTAAAAATTGTTCTCCCTAAGTCTCCTTAGCATCTGAGGAAAAATCCACCTTTAAAATCAAAGTTATCAAGTAATATGTACAATAGGCAAAACTGAGACAAGAGTCAAGCTATTATATGAAAAGAGGTAGTTCTCTAAGTCAGCCTTTCTCAACCAGGGTGCCCTGGCACACTGGGGTGCCTTCTGGCTTCTTCAAGGATGGCATGAAATTTTGTGATGGTGGGACGTGAAGGGGGGGCTTCTAATGTGAAGGGGGAACCCTGATGTGAAAGTAGAGCTCTCATATAATGGGGGGACTCTGATGTTAAGGGGGGCTTCTCATATAAAAGGGAGGCTTCCGATGTCAAGAGAGCTCCTGATGTGAAAGGGAGAGGACTTCTAATGTGAAGGGGGGCTACTTATGTAAAGTCTGGGGTGCCTTGAGATTTCGCATACTTTTTAAGGGTGCCTTTTTAAGGGTAGTCATGATAATCGCATTTGTTTGCAAAAAAAATGCCACCTCATTAAGAGAGGCACTATAATATTTCGAGCTGTCAGCCTGCAGCTGTCAAAGGGCAGTACAGTGTAAAAAGTCATGACAAATTTAGATGAGTGACACTGCACACTTTGCATTTTCCTATATATGTGGAAACATGTTTAACATGCTTGGTTTAAGTATTACTATAACATGTTCTCCCCTGTGACATGAGCATGGAAGAAACCAATTTATTCCAAAATGTATTTTTGTTCATAAAGCGTTTTTGGAGACCATTCTCACTTATACTTAAGTGAAAGACATCTGATGGTGTGGATTTCAGCTTAGCCTAGGTAAGCCTAGCTTAGTTTAGCTCAGTGATTTATCATTAAATGAAAGGAGTCATAGTGGTATGCGATACTTTCCACAGCTGACTTATGACCAGTAATTCCACAAGAAAATGACCAATTGTCATTTTGCATGCAACAATGGCGTACATAGAGTAATAAGCTGCACTACAATTTGTGTACAGTTTTGGATGTTTAGAAATACATATTTGTGCACATTATTAGTAACCCTTTCAAACAATATACTGTAATTTTTTTTCCAGGTATAATAGATCACAGATGTGAAGCTAGCTGAAGGCATGTTAAAGCATGTTGTACTTGATGACCATGTTGGAAAACAACAAGTTTATATGTAGTGTTAGACAATATCTTTGTGCATTCTATTAAATTTGTGAATTTATTTTATGTTTCTTCTTTCTAAATTGTTTCATTCTTAGTAATAAAGCTTACCAACTCCTTTTAGCGTTGGGTGGATGGAGCTCCATACTCCCACACTGCCTTTTCTTAGACGTTGTCCAATTGCAAATTCTATAAACAGTAGCGGAATGCCTTCAAACACCAATAGTATAAGGAAGGGGATCATAAAAGCTCCTGTAAAAATACAGTATTTTCTTTTACTGTTCATGTGGTAGATAAAGCATTGCATGCATAAATGTAACATATATAAAAGTTAGCATTATTGGTTTTACAACCCAGACTAGTAGTTCAATTCATTCAAATATCAAGATATCAAGAAAAGAGAAGGTGTTAGGGGTCAAAACTAAACATCAATGCACCATATCCCAAACATTTTTGAAATACCCAAAACAAACAAGTTAACAGGACTTTAAGGTGCAATTACAATCAGACTTGCATATAAAAATGTAAAGCAATTTTTATCGGTACACATTAAAAATTACATATATACATTGAAAAGCACTAATTACAGTACATGTAGAGAGTAACGTTGTGATGTCCCCGTATACCCCAGGTGTCCTATTATCACCACTGTTTCCTTGAATTACCAGGCATTCAAACTTCTAGTCAAGCTGTTTTTACCATATTATACAGTGGGAAAAGGAAGCTCCTCTCGGAGGTATAGGATGAATATCAGAAGTAATAGGCTGGATGTCTAAAAGAAGAAATGCTGTAGGTCCCTTGAGATGATAGACGCAACATCAGGAGGCAGGATGTCGTCCAGGGCATGGACATCTTAAGAGAAGTGCAGGAAGCAGCTGTCCTTCTGGATCACACTTTCCCGTGGGTGCGGGCCACTGCTATCCCTAGGGTCCCTCCACATAGCTCAACACTTGGAGCCTTTTTTTAGACATCTGCTACTGGCAAAACCATAGGGGTTTGCAAACTCTGCCTGCAGCATATCAAGCATTGTACATATACTAGATATTTGGGTACCACATGGATGAGGAGACACATGATTCTTCACCACAAAGTGGAAGCTGCTGACCATTATAATTTATGTGCTGCTCAGTGGGAGCAGCACATAAATTATAAAATCATAAATATAAAATATTAATTTAAATGTAGATTTTTGGGATGAAAAGCTACATGCTGTGTTCTACTCCATCTGCTGCAGTGCAGCAGGTATTGGGTTTGTACAATATTTCCAGCTGTTGTGTCAGAAATAATTTCAGTTGAAATTGAAAACCTAGTAAAAAAAGCTGAAATGGTCTATACAATATTTATTTTTTTTGTCTTAGAAATAATACACTCTAAGTTTTATTTTAAGTTTAAACCTGACTCATCTCTTCATCTTTCATTGCAGACCAAAAAAAACTGCTTACATAATTTGAGCCTGTGCAATATTTCCTGCTGCTGTCTCTGAAATAATACACTCTATGGTTTATTTCAGGATGAAAACTGCCTCTTTGTTCCCTGTTACATTGCAGCCAAATCAAGCTGCTTACATACTCCCTATGCACTGTACTATATGCGTGGTAATTGTCTCTAAAATATGGCACAGTAATTTTTATTTCAGGATAACAACTGCTTTGTCTCTGGAATGTGTAGTTGTGGTTTTGAAGTGTATTTGTGCACTCTGTTTTGAAATTTTATTAAAAACTTTTAAGACAATACAGTGTGAAAGAAGATCAAAAGCTATACTACGAAACCGTTTTGCCACTGTCTGGTAGGACTCTTGTTGCTGTTTGTTAGGACCCTCTCCCTGCTAAACAGTATTTTTTGCAATGGTACATGTTCCCCATGGTAGTGCCCAGCTGCCCATTCCCTTTGCTTGGCAATCCTTACCTATTAGCCTTGAAATGGGCAGAATTGACTCTGACTTCAGTGTGGTTCTTAGTAAGTTTGGCAATTTCTGGAATGTACGAAGAGTTTGACGAACATTCGGCAAATCAAACCCAGACACATTGTTCATCACTACTAAACAACATTGGGAATGATTATATCCTTCTTAGAACTCAGGAAAAAGGCAGTGGAATTCATGTGTCAGTTTAAACAGAATATTAGCAAGTCAATCTTGCAATGAGGTTTGCTAAAATTCTTGCAGTGTACTTTATATCATTGATCTGGAGAAGCCTACTATTTTTCTTAAAAAATGAAGACTTGCAATCAAAATGTTGGTCACGTATCCAAGAAGTTGTGAAATAACTTTATAAAATGTTGTCTCTTCTTTGTTTGGAGCAACACATTATAGTGACATTTTTGATGACTAATGTTCAAATGATTCAAAACTGAAATGAACTGGAGAAAAAGTCAAACAGCAAAAGCATTAAACTTCACAAAAGTACACTCCAGTCATACAGTACATTTTGTATGTTAGCTGATTCCAGAAAACACTTTCTATTTTCATTCTGTTATTGACTTTCATATAGTTTTAATTACTAACATATCATTAATCAAGATGATTTAAAATGTAAAGCTTGCTCAACACACCACTTTCATCATAATGTAAAAAACACTAAAATGTATTCATTATGATGAATTTTTTAGAGACTGCAAAAATCATTTTACATTACATTTATGCAGCATTTTACATCATGTATACACAGAAACCATTAAGCATGTCAGCAAACTAAGCAATAGATGTTATTTCTGTTTCAGATCCAATGAAAGGTATTTTTCGTTTGATAATTACTAGTTTGAACCACTAGATGTCACATTTGGCTATGTTTTATGATTTTAATGATTATTTCATGCAGCTCACTTTCATCCTCTCTGGACACTTTGGCTCCCCTCACTACAAGCAGACTTCGACCACGTCCACTACAACCGTGGCAAACTAAAGAAACCAGACATCTAAAACGACATAACTGCGCTTATGAACGACTGTGGCGAAAAACTAGGCTTCTGCAAGAATTCACCCTGTATGAAGCTACCCTATTAAAATATAATTCCTTCCTTAGCACTGCCAAACACACTTATTTTGTCACTCTCATTAACACACTCTCATCCAGACCTCGTCAACTCTTTTCTACTTTTAACTCTCTACTATGTCCACCACCGCCTCCACCCACTAACTCAATCACTGCCCAGGACATTGCCATTCATTTCAAAAACAAAATAGATACAATCCGGGATCAGATGGCCACTGTCCAGTCACCTTCCCCAATTCATGTTCCAAACCCACCAACACACTCGTTACTCTCCTCTTTTGACCCTGTTACCACAGAGGAGGTTACAAAGCTTCTCTCTGACACCCATCTCACCATTTGCCCCCTTAACCCGTCCTCACCACTACTTCGGTCACCCTCTTACTCTATCCTACACTCCCTTAGGCCTGGTTCACACCTGGGCGTTTTACAGTGCGTTCCTACGCGCTGTAAAACGCTCAACATGTGAAAACTAATAATTGCCTATGGGCATGGTTCCCACCTGGGCGTTTTACAGCGTATTTACAGCGTATCCATTAGGATACAGCCGGATAGCCCTCGTAAACGCGCGTTTGTTGCGCGTTTCTTTTACCGCAAATCGCTGTATGAAACGCGCAGCAAACGCGCATATTCTGTACGCCCAAGTGTGAACCCAGCCTTACTCACATATTCAATCTGTCACTATCTACTGGCATCTTTCCCTCCCCTCTAAAGCATGCCCTGGTCACCCCAATACCCAAAAAACCATCAATGCACCCTACCAACCTCAACAATCTCAGACCAATCCACGTACTCCCATTCACCTCCAAACTTATAGAACGCCTTATCTACAGCCGCCTGAGCCGCCACCTCGCTGATAACAACCTTCTCGATCCCTTACAGTCCGGCTTTCGCCCCAACACTCATAGGCAAGACAATGACAAAACAATGGCCACTACTCCTTACTCTTGCTATTAGACCTTTCTGCTGCTTTTGACACTGTGGGCCTGCTCCTCCTCAAAAAACTCCACTCGCTTGGCCTACAAGACTCTACTCTCTCATGGTTCTCTTCTTACTTATCTAAACGCTGCTTTAGTGTCACCTACAAATCTAACTCCTCCCCTTGTCTATTTCCTCCCGCCCATGCACCTTCCCCCAACTTTTCCCTTGAGATTGTTAACACAACTATCCAGCCCTCCCCCCATGCCAAGGTCCTAGGTGTCATCCTTGACTCGGACCTCACCTTTCTTCCCCACATCCAATCACTAACCAAATCCTGCCACCTTCACCTTCGTAACATCTCCAAAGTACGCCCCTTCCTCACCAATGAAACCGCAAAACTACTCATACACTCACTTGCTATATCTCGTCTTGACTATTGCAACTCCCTCCTCATTGGCCTACCTCTAAACAGGCTATCCCCCCTTCAGTCTATCATGAATGCAGCTGCTAGACTCATTCACCTAACCAACCGCTCAGTGTCTGCAACCCCCCTCTGTCAATCCCTACACTGGCTTTCAATAGCCCAAAGGATAAAATTCAAAATATTAACAACCACTTACAAAGCCATCCACAACTCTGCCCCCGGCTATATCTCAAACCTGGTCTCAAGGTATCACCCTAACTGTCCCCTCCGCTCTTCAAAAGACCTCATGCTTTCCAGCTCCCTTATCAACTCCTCCCATGCACGCCTCCAGGACTTCACTAGAGTCTCTCCCATCCTATGGAACTCTCTACCCCAACCTGTCCGTCTATCTCCCACACTGACTGCCTTTAGGCGATCCCTTAAGACTCATCTCTTCAGGGAAGCCTATCCCACCTCAACCTAACCACTGAACCATCACGTTCTCAAACAATTCATCCTCACACAGCTACCCCCTCATGTATCACTTGCCCCTCCCTTTTAGATTGTAAGCCCTGTATGAATGGGTGTGTCCATACAAGGAAACTTTTAAAAAGCAGAGTACTTGTCAGACCGACAATAGCGTTGCAGTAATGTGCAACAAAATGCTTATTTTACCGTATTCCACGGTGATAGACAGTGATCCACAGAATAAAGTGCAGTGTCTTACGGTGCCATTTTATTTTCAATGTCACATCAATCTGTCTAGGCAGTGCAGTACAATGCTATTGCTTTTTAGCTCACTGCAATGCACATCTAAACCATATGTGCATTGTGGGGGGCGTCCTTATACAAGAAAATGCAGTATATATGTTAAAATATGGCTTGCAGTGTGTTGATAGCCCCTTTAAAATGGGAAGAAATGTGTGTTAATATGCATGCAG